CCCCACCCCATCTGAAACAGAACAGATTTGGTAACTTCTAAGAACCCTACGAGTTTTATGATTCCATATCTCTGGAATTTTTCTAAAATCATCTTCATTGTGTTAGCCTGTTGTTCTGGAACTCTCATCCCCAGGACTCAGATGCCACATTCTCCAGAATATTCTAGAAGAGAATGTGCCATCTTTTGAGTTTCCAAAGGACCCTTCACAAGAGAGGGGTGGGGCAGATAACGATTTGGGGAAAAGAAACAAGTCAGGAAAAGCAAAAGAAGAATCTTTCCTGGAGTGACTGACCTTTCTTAGCCTTTTAATCTATTTAACATACTAAGCCCACACTGACCTGTAGAAATAAGTAAATGGCACTCTTCAGTTCTTAAGAGCTCTTCAGCATCAAATATTTGCTTTTACTCTTAGTATTTGGCTCCCAAAGAAGAGATACATCCCCCATCTAGCAGTTGTACTCTGGGGAGGACCTAGCTCTGAGATTAGCTCCAAATATTACTTCTAGCCTCACCTTCTCTGAAATGGGAACAGTGTTCCTGGCCCCAGTCTGTATTTTGAGTATCCCAGGGAAGCTCTGTAACTCCTGGTTCTAGAAAGTGCTGCAACTACCCTGCTTCATTGTGGATTCCCCCTTTCTCCATTGGTGCTTCAGCGCTAGTCCAATTTTCCTTTCACCTCTGCTCTGGGGATTTATCCAAACTATCTCCAGGAACCAGGACCTGGGGACTATAGGAGGTTGTTTCACTTAAACTGCACCTTCTGAAGAAGTGGAGGAAAGGAGGTAGAGAGTCAGAATTATTAGAGAAAGATTCTTTCTTTATTGCCTCTTTCACATCAGATATACTCAAAGACATGGGAGGAGAAAATTATTTTTCTATTGGGTCAATATAAAAAAGTAGTCAAGATATTAAGTTTTATACATATTGGAAATATCTATATGAATTGCCTCCAGTTCATAAGGGATTCTTAGAATTACACATAAATATCTAACTAAATAATCTTTCCAGATTTTAAAATATTGTTTAGTGTTCTGGACACTTGAACTTATTTTACAACTCAATATAGCTTGTGAATAGTATTATTTAATTAGATAAGTATTCATGTCCCTATAATTGGAGGTAGTTAGAGTTTATTTAATCTTTAGGCATCTGGGCTATAGTGAATATATTTAAGCGGTCTGCACTAATCACCCTTTCAAAGGAATTATCCAAGATGATCATCACTGCTGCGTGCTTAAGAATTTAAGACTAGAAATCTCTGAAATAAAACTAAAGTATCTTGATTTTTAAAAAATGATTGCATCTATATCTTGCATTCTGTTTTTAAATCCTTCCATTTTGGTTAAGTGTTTCACAAAATCCTGCAAATCTATACAGTATTGAAGAGAGGCAACATTGCAAATTCCCCTTGATAGATGGAGGGCCCTCAACTGCCAGGACATTTTTCTTTGCCTCATAGCAACTGCTCTCCTCTTTTTTATCAGTATTCTGGTTAAAATAGCAGAAGGAAAATAAAAATGGACTTTTCACACTTTCAAGAAGTGAATGATCTTGATCGGTCTTAGGATAGAAAGAAAAGACAGCATTTAAAATCAGGCCTCTTTGCCTTTCCTTCTGAAAACTAGTTGCCATGAATAAGTAAACATTTCTCTTTTAATGGGTAATAATCAATTGCTTGGCGGTGGTCCAGACCTGGCTGGGATTCTTTCTTACATATACTGGTGATATACACACAGAAGACAAGGAACAGCAATTACTTTCAGACTGGGAATTTAGTAGATCTTTAACATGTATACCTGAAACTACTAATAAAATAAAATTTTTAAAAAAAGGCAAAAAAATGGGCTTTAGATTTTATTAATGTCAAATGACAAGATTTGACATTAAAATATTGACTTTACAGGGACTTTGTGTTGTTGTTCTTGATCTATAGGAGAAAAATTTTTCTTTCCTAATATGTTTATCTAGTTGTTTAGGTATATACATGAAAAATATATAGGGGGTAAAATGATTTAATGAATTAAAAAGTAAACATACTTAATTAGATATCTGTAGTCTCTATGTCTTAAAGAACCAACAAATAGCTTTTTAATGGTATAATGGTATAATAAGGGTAGCTGTGATAGTGTGGAATGCATGTTGTCAGAATGAAAATAATAACACACCTTAAGGAGGGGGCCAAATCTTATTTGTCTGGAGCTGAACCTCTCATTTTTGTCTAATCTTTTATTTTTTAAATTTTTTTATTTTTAATTTATTATATTCCTTTGATTGACTGATATAAATTTAAAACACCGGATCCTTCTCGATGTTTACACAAGGAAGTTTCAGGCCCTATATCACACTTAGTGTCACATAGAGACACTGACAGAGCAGACTGACCCCAGGGACATATTTTATGATACTTGCCCCAGTACCTCACATGGGCCTGTGTACTGTGCATACTTACAAACAGCAGCACTTCAGTTCAAGCCAGTTATTATTATATTTTCTTAAGTTACCATAAATTAGGCCCCCCTTTTTTATACCTTTACTTTGTTGGAGATTAATTTTGGAATTTTCAAAGAGTTGCATTATTAAAGTGAAATATTATTTCTGTCCTATTCGACAACAATTTAAACACCAAAAGAAAAGAATTTGTTAATATTTGGTGGAGAGAAGGACCACAGTCTCTCAGAGGGCTAAAGGATCAAATATTCCATTTTCTTATTAGTGATGACGATAGCAGTAGTAAGAAAATATCACTTTATGTTTTATACATTTGAGAATGTTTGCGATGTACCCTTACACT